CCTTGCTCAAAAGTCATAGCGTACACTAAAGCCGACCACAAGTCCCAAGCAGTGTCGACTCTCCATCCAACCAACTCAGGCGTGGGCAATTTTTTCTACTCTTAATTCTTTTCTTCTGGTTGAACGGAAAGAGAAGATTTCCGAAATGTTAGAGAACTTTTCTACCAAGCAACTACCAGAATTTATAAAGGTTTTAACGTCGGCCAGACGCCATGATGACCATAGTCCCAAACGACTAGCCCCGCAGACGTGGGGGCAGCAAAATTGCCGACGAGCGCGGCAAAATTCACAAATTGGTCGCTTGAAATGCGCATTAGGAGCCAATCCATCCAACTCACCACCCAGCTGCGCTTTCAGCCTTAGCAGCAAGTTTTGTCGAGCCCGAAGCAGGTCTGTTCTCTCATTCACATATAATTTTCAGGAATTGGAAACGTGGGCTCGAATTCTTCAGCTGAATTCAATTTCCACGGAGATCCTGAAGCAGCCTCGATTGTTATCCAGAAATTGGCTCCACGCTTGAATCGTGATTCCATGGGAATCGTTCTTCTTAGAAGGAGCAATGGTCTGCGTTTATTTTTGAAAAATCCCAGCATGTCTGCGGCTGAAACTTCATCACACAATTTATATTACAGCATGAAAAAGAGGTCGATTTCAACGCACATCTACAGTGCGACACCAAACTGGCTTCGTTTTTAAGAGCAGTAACTAGTACAGGTGAGTCAAGATCTGAAGACCCTTCGTTGATCCAATTATTTACTTGTTTGCTTACTTACGGTAAAACGCATATTGGTTCGCGGAGCGCACGTATAAAAACGAAACATGGCCAATGTCAAAATAAAGCGAGCGAAACATTCACTTGACTGCAATAAAGAGCGGAAGAGGGAAGGGAAAATTTTGCCAAAATGTAGCTGTGGGGAATGCGAAGCTGCATCGGTGACGAAGCTTAAAAGCAGCGATTACGATAACTTCAAGAGGGTGACGTAGTGGTGCTCATTGGTACGCCAGAAGCGAAAAAGCAGAAATCCGTCAAGAAAACGCAAAACGGGACCCCTTTTTGGCCGTTGGTTTTCACTCATGAACAGGTAACAGCTCAGAAAGCGGACGTATGAACGAGTTCACGCAACGCGTTTGGTGGCACCATGCCAAACCACGCTCCAATCGAGTTGCTCCAGTTGTGCCGCTGCTGGCAACGCAGCTCGTCCAAATCACCAACTAAACTAGTGGGCGGATCGCTTTTGGGGGCGGAGCGCTTTCGAAGTCCTGCTCAGCAACCAGCGCACCTTTCGTTGTGAAAGCGCCACACTCGCTTCCTGGCAGCCAAGTAACTGATTCGTGTGGTGCACATGCTTCCCCGATGCGCTCCCTCTTTATCGTAATCGCTTCCTTTAAGAATAGAACCATAAAAATAAGTGCTCTTTGCTGAGTTCCTGAGTAGGAAAAAGGCGCTTTGTGAAGCTTTTTCTGGCTTTTCTTTAGCTCATGAGAGCAATGTTTGACGATTCAGGTAGCTATATATACATGCATAGTATTCCGATCTGATTTCTTTGTTTGCTTGCGTATAAATGCTATATTTTACAAATAAAGCCCCAGTTTCTGTCAACGTCAGCTAACAAGGGTAGCCTTTCACGGCTTGTTTCGCTTTCGCTGAACGGTTTTGGTAGTACCGAAATACATGGGAAGCACTGTAGCTGGTTCGATCCCCGTGGCGACCAAATTTTGCACGTCGGGTTGGCGCCTACGGGTTGGCGTCAAATGGCGTTAATGATGTCATATTCATAGTCAGAGCCAGTTGACGCCATCAAGTGACCGCCAACTTCGAATGCAAAATCTTGACACCACCTTGAACTACTTTTTTGGTACTACTAGAAAAGTTTAGCGAAAACGAAACATGGTTTTGTGGTCCATACATGCATCCTTATAATATGGAGGAAACCGCTTTTGGAAAATCACGGTTAACCCACAAGACCTCCTTGTAAGGGGCGCGACGCGTGCGAATGAGAATGATTCCCTTTCACCCAAGTGCGTCGTAAATCGGAACACATGTAGCTAGCTCTATTCCAAAATAATTCTGAGCGGCAACAATGAGATGGGTTTAAGGCTTCAGAGGGATTCCGTCATATCGATGTTATGAAAGGTTTGCTGCTGATGGGTCTCTTTGCTGGATTTCACGCCGGTCTTTACCGTAATCGAGTCGAACCAGCAGAACCACCTCTAATCTCGTGCAGTGTCACATGGAACTTGGGTAGTTAAAAGATGCACTTGCATATTTACACTAGTTATCGCTAATTTCACATCTAAATTGGAAGAGGGTAAAAGGAGAGAGGTACTGTAGCAATGAGCTATACTGCGGAGTAAGAAGCTCGGGCAACTGAGGAAGATGCGACACTTTTTTTGACGCGAACTTTGGCGGAGCCCGACTGTGGTAGATGAAAGCTCAGATAACTGTTGTGTTGAAAGTATAAGCTGCTGATCAACTGATTGGCTTATAAACAGTTACGGAAACGAATCATCTCTTATGATAGATAGAGAGCTGTACGGAGAATCATTGTCATAGTATATGGAAGAAATGCATGTAATTAATGAAGTCTTCCAAATAAGGGATTCAAGCATCAATAATGTAAACTGTTGAGGCATGAATGTGGTGAAGTAATAAGACATAAATTAGGTTAAAACAGAGAAAATGCCTTTGTAGAACTGGTGGGAGCGTAGCGTATTGATCACTTCATATTGAGCATTTGAGCTGAATACGATGTTAAGGTCGTGCGGCAATGGAGAAGAATGGCCGTCAGTTTGCGTATTGCGATGAAATCGCGGTAGCTGCGGCGATTGACCTGGACAAAGTTGCTCGTAAGACTACGCACCTGAGGGCGAACGTCGAACTGTCAGGAACACATAGCAGGTTGGTGGCTTTTGCAGCTTCTTGACATTGAATTATTACATGAGTAAAAATTCAAAAAGAATTTCCACAGGTGCCCTAGAGATACCTCATAACAATGGAGATAGTGATCATGATTGCTATAGAGTGAAGAAATTCGGATGATGTCTTTGAAAGTAATGGTGAAAGGACACTCTTCCAACCATATCCCGCACTGACAACTCTTCACCAATGACAGTCATTTATGCCATGAAGAGATCAGTGCCTTCAAGCAATCAATAGTAAAACAGGGTAACGCGTTGGCATCTGTCATATAGTGGCAGGGGAGGTGGTACGACATTGGTCTATAATGCAACTAAAACAGGATCGGACAATTTTTAGTATCAATTGATTTGAAGTGAATAGCATATTAATCCATCGGGAAGTCTTGATTAAATTGGGATGAATGGCATGTAAGTACAGCTATTAGCTTACATCCGATTAATTCAAGACAATGGTCGAGACTGGCTGCTTGAGAAGCTCCTATTGCTTTGTTCGAAGAATTCGACGACCCCTTCACGGTACCTTTTGCTGTCTTCACACCATCGCACTTTGACTGTGCAGTTCCAATCGTTATCGTGGAACTGCTTCATTGAAGGAACTCACGCCATCGGAAGACGCTGAGCAATTGCGATCGTCAATCGCTACACATTAGAAATCTTCGTCCCGCTCACCGACGATCTAGGGCTCAAGGGACCTTCTTCTCGAACATAATGTGGACAGCAGTTGGTGCGCAGCAGCAGATGGCGTTGTGAGAGCAGGACTACAGGACTACTGACCGGGATGATGATGCAACCGAACGACTGTCAGAGTTGGCGCGCGATTTGAAGGCGCAGGAAACCAAGGTCTTGAGCCGCTCAAGATTGGCG